AGGTCATCTTTTCAGTAGGCCGGAGCATGCTTTCGATCATTTTTGCTGACAGCACGCATCCATCTCAGCATTCCCATTTCTACCCGGCTCAGCTGTTACTCGTGTCTTTTCAGGGTAGTCAGACACTGCGCTCTGTAAAGAAGTACGTGTCTCTCTGCCGTGCTGTAACCTTTCCGTTTCACTTGCTGGACATCTTCTTCTCGTACAGTACGCTGCTCACCTCTTCATTTAAGTCAAGGTTTGCTCTACCGATTTCTTAATTTATTGTTGATTTACCCATCGTCTTGAAGGGTGGAAATAAGATATTCGAATTCTGAATAAGAATTTGTTTTAGGCAGCATACTCTCCCCTATTTTCGATGATTTGTTTCCTTTCCGTCTGTTATTCTCACTGAAATAGCCAGTCATAAATTCCATTGTATATTTTTTAAGCCGAATTCTGTGTTTATCAACCACTCTTCTCCGTTCCTCTGTTTTAGCTTCTCTTCACAATTCAACACTACTCGATCTTCATTAAGCATGCAGTATGGAGCTGTTTTCTGCAAATTTTTAGTTATATCGTCTTTTGCCGTCAGCAGTTACAGATATCTGTATAATGGGATCGTGGCAGTTATTCGCCCAGGGCTTTCGAAGCATAAAGTAGCTTATGGATAGTTCTCTCTCGCAGCGACAACTATTTCATAAGTTACGGTCTTTTGACGAAATCTCACGAATCACATTGGCATCTCGTGAACGTCTTGCGTTGGGAGCCCTTGGATCCCAGTTCATCCGCTTGTTGAAAAAACACCTTTAATCAAACATTTTCAGATTTTTTCCCGATGGCGGTTTGCGATTAAGTTGTTCCGCTTTGTCCATCGATTTTTGCAATATATTTTATTGTTGAGGTCAAGAAGATTTGAAGTTTCAACCACTCCCAACTGTTGGTGATTCGAATAAACAAGAGGCAGACGGTCTTCTTGGCGCCGGTAGCTCGACTTTCTGCACTGTCACTTCAAGCCAACGTTCGCTTCAGCAGTACGTTTCGCTTAATGACGAAAGCGAAACTTTTAACGAGAAAGCGAAGGAAGCCGTTCCGTCGACTGGTTCTCTTGCTTACGACGGCGAAACGCTTGTGCAAGAGCGGTTGGCTGAGGCTTCAAATGGCACGTCCTCCTCTGCAGTGCTGAAACAATCCGCCGTTGGTAAAAAATGATTTTTCTTTATCCTTCCTGTGTGTTGGAAAGATGAGATGCTTTGTGTTTCGTTGTTGGTCTACACTTGCTTCTTTCAGAATCTACATGAAATTCTCGCGTTACATTTTCGACCTTCGAGCTTCATTCACTTTTTCATCCAAGCTCTGACAATTTTGACAGTATGGTTTTGAATCATGACAACTAACTACCGTAAGTGCGTATAGATACGCTGTTGTATGACATATAAGATACTGTGAGTGAACGTAACTAGGCTTCGATTTTAATTGCTACTGATTCTGAGCAGAAACTGTCGTTCTCATTTGAAATGCTCTTTTTTCTTTGTCATGTAACATATATGTTGTTTTGTAATCCGGTTGCAGTTGTA